GATTAATGATTGCCATAGGAGGGGTTTTATTTAAACAAAGATGCATAACATATGTCGAATCAAATCCTTTATTACGATGTAAAAATGTATGTTATAGGGAGTTGACCCTATTCATGTAAAGATGAGGTTAAGGGGGGTTAAGGGAGGGGCATTGAGAAACCCTTTCTCGAATAGAAAGGTTCATTTACACAACCTTAAAACTATCTGGAGGGCTGTCCAAATTTGTATACTTTTTTGACAGGTTTTGCAGAAGGAAATGACAAGCTACAGGGTGTCCCACGAAACATGATAGTTGGTAAATAGTTTTGAATGTCGTCTTCCATACACTGTATTAGATATTAAAGGCTGTTTGCTGTTTATTTCGTGTAAAAAATCTTTTGCTCAAATATATTTTGCTTTGAAGTTAATTTTACTATAACATGACTCTTATATAATATTTTTTATTATTGTCTTTGGTATAAAACAACAACAAAGTATGGAAGAAGACATTCTAAACTATTTACCAACTGTCATTTTTCGTGGGACACCCTGTAGGTGCCCCTAGAAATAAGAGAACATCAGATCTTGTTTTCTATGTGCCCCCTTTTTTCCTTGTCAAGCATGAAACCTCAGCTATACATATTAGTTATTTTACTTTTACTTTTTAGTTAAAAATGAACACTTATTACTTTTCTAGTATTCACAGGAGATTTAAATTCTTTCAGACTTAAGAATAAACTGCGTTGCTTTATAGGAAGAGATGGGCTCTAGTCATGGTGGTTGAGCTGAGATTGCAGTATTGTAGAGAAATTTTTCAGGATTCATCTCGACAAACCTATGAGAAGTTAAGTTTACTCTAGAACTTTTGAAAATTTTTATAAAAACCGATTTTTAAAATCATCCCTCCAGAATGGATAATCCAAGAGGATGGTAAAAATTAAATTTGCGCTTTCGCTGAGCAATTATACACCGCAAAAAGGTCTCAAATGAATCATGAACTTTTTTTACAATATTGTACTCCCACCTCATCTACCATGTCTAGCCGGTCTCTCCCTTTGGCAGGGTTTAGGAATGCTTGAATGGACAAGGATACATCAAAAGAAAACCTAAATCTGGGAAATCACTGATACAAATATCTTAGAAATATTTTCAATTTCAGTTAGAGATGCATTTTCATGTTTTGTCTGGCCTAGAACCACCTCTAGACCTCAGGATAGGAATTCTTGACATAATGTTTAAATTATCACCAACTCCCCTTTCCCCCTNTGCTTCCTCATTTATTGTAGACTCTTAAGGAAGTTTCTCCTCCTCATCACATTAAGAAATGAATAAATGATCTCCGATATATAGGGTTTTGATAATTCACAGACTGAATGATTTTTTTCTCATTTCTTAATTTAAAAAAATTAGATTGGTTTTATTTTATTATTTTTATACCGATCAATTTCTTGCCTTTTAGTTAAAACACATAAGTGAACTAGCTGTAACTAGTTCTACTACATATCTCATTTATTAATTTACAATTCTACTCGGGTTAACTTGTGAAATCTAGAGAAAGTTGAATTTTTATTCTTCAGTACAAAAATATTCGGACAGGATGTAAAAATACCATTCTTTGCCTGTCCTACTGCTGGGAATAGAATGTTTCACACTGAGGTAAACATTTAATTAATATAATTAATTGGATTAATGAGAAAAAATGTTTTTAAGAACAACAACTATTAAAAAATAAGAATAAATGTGCCATATATTGTTGTTTGGTACATTTCAACTAATCATATCAATTCTCTCATAATGCTTTTTTTGCGAGAAAAAAGAGATTCGAAGTTATAATTAGTTGCAAGGCCTGTAATTCAGCAAAATTCTGCAAAATTCCGAAACATTTCGATTTTCAGTATCCTCCAAATGAATATTAATATTAATTAGTTATCTTGTTTAAGGGAGAACTTGCTGTTGCTAAAGCCTCTAAAGAACATGGGAGTCTCTATTGTCTATCCTCAATTTCAACCTCAAGGTTTTCATTCATCTTAAAGAGAGTGTCTGAAATTCTCAGCTCAACTACATTGTCCTATTAAATATTTGTTCAATTCTTTGAAAATTCACATAAATTCCAATTTTAAATTTACATCTAAAATGACTCAGTTGTTTCTTCCCTCTCAAATATTTTTACTCAAAGATTACAGTTTGTCTCTTTAAACATAATATTTCTTTATATATTTCTTTTTCAATAACGATCGTTATTCGTTTTGTTAAAGTTCAAAACGAGTGGGTCGTTTTTAAAACAGATCGTTTTTTTCCGAAAAGGAAATGATCGCTTTTGAAAACGACCGGAAAACGAGACAAAAAACGATTAACAACCCTACTGAGTCACATATCGGTAACAAACAACAACTAATCTTCGTTCTAATCCTTTATAATTAAACTTTTAACTAGTATGTCTGCAATATTTGAAAACAAACCACCATAAATTTGTACAGAGTACAAAGGTACTTGCCGCATACCATTAAATTCAATGTACTGTATATCAGTAGCTAGTACATTACTAAATGGCCATTTTCTAATTGAACTGAAACCCTCCGGTATGGTGAAGACGACATGAGCGATCTATATTCTTGTATATCTATTCTAGAGATTTTTTTTTCTTTTGGGGGGGGGAGTTTTTTTCCGGAAAATTTGAATGATTTGCATGGTTTTTCATCTAATGCTGTAACAACAAAAGTTCCACATCTTGAACAAAGTTTAAAACAATGATTTCACGTTTAAATCTTTTTGATCAATAGTATTATCTAAATTCTACTATTTTGAAGTTTTGTAAACTTGTTATTGAGAGATTTAAGAAGATTATTTTTAATCCATGATAACTGTGTAACTGTGTATGTTTAATCAAAAATTTAAAAATTAGTTATTTTACTAAATATTTTTAATTAGCTTTTCATCTACTTTCTAAACATTGTAATTTTAAAATCTAAAGATGTTATAACAATTATTTTCTTTTGATTTTGATTTTTTATGAATCCAAAATTGTAAAAACTTCCACTGTTAAAGCTTTATAAAGTAAATAGCCTAAACTGAATGATGGAACGATTATGCACACAAACTTTATTTACACGTTAGAAATAACAAACAATATTGAGTAATTAAATATGATCAGAGTAGATATTGAACACTTGAGGGATTTCTCCGCCTCGGTTGGTGGACAATGGACATATTCTTCCATAACCAGCCTTTCCAACTCCTTCATCAATACGGGTTTGAAACAGGACGGTCCGTTATTCCCCGGGTCCTGTTAATCCGTTATAATGTATCTGTCCCCACTCCGTCCAGCTGCCCTGCTCCGCCTAACCGTTATCTAGAGGTTAACGGCATTTACAGCTTGGCTTTATTTACAAACTCTCTAACGGACAACTAAACTCCGGCTTTGGGTTTGTGTACTATGTTAACGAATTATGTACAGTACTTAATATGTACAGTACAACAGATACAAAATCATGCTGGTTTACGCTATATTTGTCATGTGTCAAGAAGGTATTTTTGATCACATATTTAGTTTTACAAACTTTTTTAAATTTACGCTTTCTTATTTATTAACTAACTTATATTTGATCCTATCCTGTATTTGATCCTATCCTATCTTTAATCCTATCCTATTTTAGATCCTATCATATATTTTATCCTATCATATATTTAATCCTATCCTATATTTGATCCAATCCTATATTTGATCCTATCCTATATTTGATCCTATCCTATTTTAGATCCTATCATATATTTGATCCAATCCTATATTTAATCCTATCCTATTTTAGATCCTATCATATATTTGATCCTATCATATATTTGATCCTATCCTATCAATGATCATTTGTTATGGGACAACCTGTATTTCGCAAAAATCTGAAATTAAAAATATTTTAAGATGATATTCTCTAAAACTATTGTATTAACAACGAACCTTTTTCATCTTTGACTGATCAACAATGACAGAGATTAACATATGTTTATTTATTTAGAAGATTCGTAAAGAAATTTTAAAGAAATCGATATTTCTAGTTTTATGATTTTCATCCTGTAATGTAATATTAGCTTGCCTTGTAGAACTTCTCTTTTGATCTAGCACACCAGTGGAATAAGAAAAATATTTTTTTAACATTTTTTTTCTGGTTCACAACAGTAGTTTTTTACCTTTATCTTATTCACAAAGAGAAAGCCATCGTCATTTTTCTGTTTTTAAAAAAGTGAATCCACAAGTAATTTTTTAAGTAATCACAAATGTTAATTTTTTACATAGAAAAATAAGGACGTTTCCATCATTATATTTTGCGAACTCTCTACATAAAGAGTCACTTTAAAGTACGTCGATATTCCTTTTACGCTCCAAATGTTCACTTTCCTACATAGAGTTCATTTTTTAATACTTGTTTAAGTAACAAAATATAGTTTTATTTACATAATGTTTTTCTTCAGTATGAAGGAGATATCTGAAATCCTACCTCAAGACTATCCAAAACTTTTTCAGGTTTTTTTTAATTTAAATTCATTAAATTTTACGATAAAAATCAAATTATTTCAAATATGGCAAGAAATAAAGGGTCGCGGAGTCGGGAACTTTTTATAGAAAGACATTTCATAGATAACAAAATCATAGAAAGAAATTTTGATAATTGTAATATTTATAGATATTACATTTCATTGATGCCTGTCTATGAAAATCCAACCACCAACAAAAATATTCTTGCTTTTTGGTTCATATTTTTCGTAAAATTTCCTTTTTGATTTTATTGTTCAGGTTTACGTATGGAAGGATCGGGCTCTACTGTTTATTGTTCAGGTTTCTGTATGTAAGGATCGGGCTCTACTGTTAATTGTTCAGGTTTATGTATGGAAGGATCGGGTTTTACTGTTTATTGTTCAAGTTTATGTATGGAAGAATCGGGCTCTACTGTTTATTGTTCAGGTTATGGAAGGATCGGGCTCTACTGTTTATTGTTCAGGTTTATGTATGGAAGGATCGGGCTCTACTGTTTATTGTTCAGGTTTATGTATGGAAGGATCGGGCTCTACTGTTTATTGTTCAGGTTTATGTTTGGAAGGATCAGGCTCTACTGTTTATTGTTCAGGTTTATGTGTGGAAGGATCGGGCTCTACTGTTTATTGTTCAGGTTTATGTGTGGAAGGATCGGGCTCTACTGTTTATTGTTCAGGTTTATGTGTGGAAGGATCGGGCTCTACTAAGAGATATCCTGGCACAAGCAAAGGTAATACTTGTCTCATTAACCAGAGGTTACAACTTTTGATTCCTGAACTCGATGTAAACATTTTATCAGATGGATACGGCTTAGTATCGAATTCATACAGAACACCTAACGCTTCTTGCACAATCTCTTATTTTTTAAGAGCATATTTTTTTGTGGCGTCTGTCAGGCTTTTCCAAAAGGAATTAACTTACCCCACGGGCCGCGGAGTGTAAAAGGTACAACGTTATTACTCTATCATAATCATAACTAAATTTTTTAATTTTGTAAGGGGAGAGAAGTTTTCCATTTTTTACAAGTAAAAGCAAAAACAATCAGACACAAACATATATATATATATTTGCCCTGGATACACATCGGTGGCAGGGAGTGTCGACCCCTATTTTATTGAATGATTTGTTGTCTGCTAATAATGATAATACTAATGAGTAATGATAATAATAGGAGTTCGGATTCCAATCCTTAGCGTTAACAGTAGACGCAACATGGTACGGGAATAGAGAAAGAGATCTCAGAAATAAATTTACGATTCCTCCAGCATATTCAATACAACAGGAATACTGTCATTTCTGCCCTATTAACATTACTACAAGGGATTCATTCTTCCGGTATACTGTTCCGTTTTTCCTCCTCAAAAGGAACTGCAGGCGTTCAAAGATGGCAAAGCCCGATTCCCATACCAGACCCTTGCAACCTTTATCTGATCAATAATGTTTTCTGTAGTAGAGATGCAGACCATCCACAATTGAAAATAATCAGTTTTCAAAATGATAAACATATCTAATACATATTTGATCAGACAAAGATTGTAAGGGTACCGTTGTGAATCGGGCATTGCCATATTTGCATGGAGAGTCAATTGAAATTACGCTTACAGTTAATTTAAGTGTGTATCTATACAAATATTTCGAGTCGAATTGGTAGTCGGTTGTATCTTAGCTACTTAAAAAAGTTTAATTGCAATACATCTAGAGTTTTAGGTTTTTGCTCATATGTCAATTTAAATGAAATGATAAATATTTACCTCCCCCCCCCCATATCTCCTTCTCTTATAGAAATGTCAATATGCCAAACAAGAAAAGCAAGTTTAAACTTGGAAATTTTTTAATTGGTTTACTGAAGGTTTTAATATTATTCTTCCGAAATAATTGCTAAAAATTTAATTTTGTTTTCGAAAATCTTATAAATTTTTCTATCTGTCTGAACTTACAAAATAAACAATACTATTTCTGTAATATCGAACCTGAAGAAAGCATTTTGAAGAGTAAACATCTAGTTCGAAATTTCGAACAAAATGTTCAATAAATAATATTTTTGGATATTCATTATTAGATATTAATATCACTTACTTTTTTTCAGTTTATTTATTTTGGTTTTCAGTGATACAAAGTTCTTATATTAGAACTTTTCTCTTTATCAAGCCTTTTTAGCCAATATGTATTCCGAGCTTTAACCAGCTGTACCAAATATAAGCGTTATGGGCAATTTTATAAAAATTATAGATATATTTTAACAAAGCAAACATATGAAATAAAAGTTAATATTAATTTTAATTTTCATTGAGATTGAAAAAAAGTTTCTGAAAATATTCTATATTTTTTTGGAAAAAGTTCACAAACATAAAAAAACTGTGTGCCATAAAATAAAGCTAATTTTACATGTAACAGAAAGGACATTAGATATCGTCTTTTCAAGATTTGGATGAAACTCGTTCACAAAAACCCTGAGGCAGAACCCCACAGGAGTTTCCCGCAGTCGGCGTAGAAAAGGCTGTCTCTGTCTTGAATTTCTACGCCGACTGTGGGAAACTCCTCTGGGCTTCTGCCTCCGGGTTAAGTGTGAACGAGTTTCATTCAAATCTTGAAAAGACGACATCTAGTGTCCAATCTCTTACTTTATTTAATCTCTGGATGAAGTACACATTAGTTTCATAAAAATTCTGAATTAAACTTGTTTAAATAGGAGAACGGATTTCAATCTTTGGCTTTAACAGTTGATTTCTCATGGTATGGAAACAGGGAGAGAGATATTAGAAATAATTTTACTATTCCTCCAGCATATACCCTAAATCAGGTATAAAACATAAAGCTTGAAACTAGAAAGAATGGCGCGAAGCATCTTGTAATATACAATTTTTTTTTTTCACTCGGGATGTATAATTTCTAAAACGTTTATGTACATATTTTTTATAATTTTCTAAAACCTTTATGTACATATTTTTTATCAAGTCCCAAGTTTTTAAACACTGTTTTACACTATTTTATAGATTGTTATTGAAAACTATTTAACTTTACTTATAGATTGGTTTTGTGTACCATTTTGATTCCTAAAAAATCCATGGTCCATATTTGTTGAATTGGAAAGGTTGCTGAACTAGCTACCACCGGTTCAAATCCTGAAACACTGATTCAAATTCTCATAAATCATTAACACGCATCAGTATCTTAAAATTTGAACCAATGGTAAGTAGTTCAGTGAAATTCATTAAACTTGGTCCTAGAGCCAAGTAACCAAAATATTTACCCTCTCAATTGATAATTTAGCTTTCAGCAATAATTGGAAAAAAAACCAAAGAAACAAATGTACATTTGTTTTTTAAAGAAGCTGGATCTAGATATGCACACCTTCGTTTTTTTATTTCGCTCGTTCATCGGTTGTGAACGACCAATTTTGTTAGTTTTTTTCAGTCGTTTAAAAGACTGATTTAGTTCGTTCTCAAAATTATCGTTTGTTTATTTTCCATCTATTTTATTCGTTTTCTCACTGAACGACTGTTCGTTCAATAAAATTGTTCGTTGAGTAAAATAGATTGTTTTATAAAAATTTGTGAGTCAAAATTTTTAGTTCAGTAAAAACTATCATTTTTTATAAAGCTTATTCCAAAAAATCGTTCGTTCCGTAAAAAATTATCGTTCTTTTCAAACTCTTTTGGAAAATTCGTTCATTCAGTAAACAACGATAGTTTTTTTGTTTGTTTGAACGATTCTAAAGCGGTTTTTTTTCTGTCTTTTTTAAAAATTTAAGTTTTTCATTTCTTTGAACGATCCATTTCGTTCGTCCGTCGTTTTTTCTTCTTTTTCACAAAAAACTTTGTTTGTTCTTAAAAATTGTATTCATTAAAAATAAACGATGCCCATCTCCAGCTGGATCCGGATCAAATTAAAATTGGATGGATCCGGTGTAAAAATAAAAATTGTCCTATTTATTATTTTGCTCAAAAGAAAAAAAGTAAAAATACAGTTATGTAAGTGTAAAAAAGTTCAGCATTTGGTTTTAGATTTTAGAAATCTTTTGTTGTGTATGATTAAAAGATGTAGATGAAGGGAATTCCTAAAATAAATCAGTGAATTTCTTAAAAACTCTTTTGTGACAGATGATAAGAGAAATAATAAGAAAATAATTGAATAAAGGATAAGATGAAGAAGTAGGATAAGATGATTAATACTTATAGGATATATGAGATGAGGTGAGACAGAAGATGAGACATGAGATGAGACATGAACTAAGACACAAACTGAGACATGAGCTGAGACATGAGCTGAGACATGAGCTGAGACATGAGATGAGACATGAGATGAGACATGAGATGAGACCTAAGATGAGACATGAGATGAGACATGAACTGAGACATGAACTGAGACATGAACTGAGACATGAGATGAGACATGAGATGAGACATGAGATGAGACATGAGATGAGACATGAGATGAGACATAAGATGAGACATGAACTGAGACATGAACGGAGACATGAACGGAGACATGAGCTGAGACATGAGATGAGACATGAGATGAGACATGAGATGAGACATGAGATATAAGAAACGAGATTTGAGATATGGGATTTGAGATGAGATATGATATGAGACGGAGAGATGAGACATGAAATGAGACCTTAGATGAGACAAGAGATGAGACATGAGATGAGACATGAGATGAGACATGAGATGAGACATGAGATGAGACCTAAGATGAGACCTAAGATGAGACATGAAATGAGACCTAAGATGAGACATGAGATGAGACATGAGATGAGCCATTAGATGAGACCTAAGAAGAGACATGAAATGAGACCTAAGAAGAGACATGAAAATAGACATGAAATGAGACCTAAGATGAGACATGAGATGAGACATGAGATGAGCCATGAGATGAGCCATGAGATGAGACCTAAGAAGAGACATGAAATGAGACCTAAGAAGAGACATGAAAATAGACATGAAATGAGACCTAAGATGAGTCATGAGAAGAGACATGAAATGAGACGGAGATAAATCAGAGATAAGTGAGATGAAACGGATTATACGGATAGAGCTAGAAGTCGTATCAGACATGATTAGAGATGTTTTCAATGAATTGAAACTGTTTTCTCCGTAACTTCGTAGGCTTAATGGATAATAAGGTGCTGCACACCCGTCTTCCATAAGAAAATAATGATTTAAAAAAATGCTTATTTTTATAATTTTTACTGACAGAGTGTACAGAAATGACATGGTTCTTCAGATATGGGAAGCCTGTAAACGACCCGCTTGGACTTGGGACTTTCTATCCAACCCTGCTTATACATATGCTCTTATCAGGTCAAATATTAATGGGGCTATTCACGTTATTTTACGTGACTCCCGATTTAAAAAGCTCGAATCAATTTATTAAAATAATAATTTATACAGACGAAAGCTGCCTTGAAAATAAGAAACTTAACTCTTTAAATTAAGCTAAAGAACACTTTTTATAATTAATTTTCTTCCAAGTTTTAAGAACTGAAAAATTAGAATGTTATTGTCGGGATAGATTGAATATTTTATGTTTTAATTATGTTTTATCTACGGCCTTCTTTCATACTTCGTAAACACTCCCTTTAAGACAAGATGTAGAATGCATAGTCATGGCAACTACGAGATGAATATTTGATGAGAAAGTCTAGATATTTTAAATATTCATCAGTTCTAGAATTCAAGTCGTCATAAACCGGATCAAGCACAAGGAGTTCAAAAATTCCAGTTGTTATAAACCGGATTAAATACAAGGAGTTCAAGAATCCAGTTGTTATAAACCGGATCAAACACAAGGAGTTCAAGAATTCCAGTTGTTATAAACCGGATCAAACACAAGGAGTTCAAGAATTCCAGTTGTTATAAACCGGATTAAATACAAGGAGTTCAAGAATTCAAGTTGTCATAAACCGGATTAGACACAAGGAGTTCAAGAATTCAAGTTGTCATAAACCGGATTAAATACAAGGAGTTCAAGAATTCAAGTCGTCATAAACCGGATCAAACACAAGGAGTTCAAGAATTCAAGTTGCCATAAACCGGATTAAATACAAGGAGTTCAAGAATGCAAGTTGCCGTAAACCGGATTTAATACAAGGAGTTCAAGAATTCCAGTTGTCATAAACCGGATTAGACACAAGGAGTTCTAGAATTCAAGTTGCCATAAACCGGATTAGACACAAGTAGTTCAAGATTTCAAGTTGTCATAAACCGGATTAAATACAAGTAGTTAAAGAATTCAAGTTGTCATAAACCGGATAAGACAAAAGGAGTTTAAGATTTCAAGTTGTCATAAACAGGATTAGACAAAAGGAGTTTAAGAATTCAAGTTGTCATAAACCGGATTAAATACAAGGAGTTCAAGAATTCAAGTTGCCATAAACCGGATTAGACACAAGAAGTTCAAGAATTCAAGTTGTCATAAACCGGATTAAATACAAGGAGTTCTAGAATTCAAGTTGTCATAAACCGGATTAGACACAAGGAGTTCAAGAATTCAAGTTGTCATAAACCGGATTAAATACAAGGAGTTCTAGAATTCAAGTTCTCATAAACCGGATTAGACAAAAGGAGTTCAAGAATTCAAGTTGTCATAAACCGGATTAGACACAAGGAGTTCTAGAGTTCTAGTTGATATAAACCCGATCAAACACAAGGAGTTCAAGAATTCAAGTTGTCATAAACTGGATTAGACACAAGAAGTTCTAGAATTCTAGTTTTCATAACAATAGGATAAAAATTAGCCTTGAAATACTGAATTTCAAAATGTTAAAGCGTAAAACATTTGTTAAAAATGAACAAATCACAAGCATAAAACTTAATTTCAATCAAAAACAAATATGTTTCCGAAAAAGCCAGTTGTTTTGTCCCATATTAAAGCATTTAAAATCAAAATTATAGAGGAGCCTCTCACTAGACATGGAACTTTAAAAAATCTAAAGTTTTATTCCCCCCCCCCCTCCCTAAAATGAATCCTGTATACGCCCTGTTAGAATTTCTCTTGTTTTTCCTTAACTGAGTCAAGTTAGAGACTAGTCGAGGTGTGGGAGGGATTCCAATTTAAAGTTCGTGTATAAATGTCATAATAATATTCTTATTTAAAAAATATTAAAATATTATTCAAAGCTCATTCATTTATTCATGAGACCCTGCACAGTATCAAATATGTAAACTAATTATTTATAGTTATTTTGATTTTTTTGATGGTTTTGAAGAGGATTAAAGTTTTCCAAAAATTTAGAATTTTTCTCTTATATATTTAAATTTTTTTATTACAGGAACGATGTTCACGCAGATAGCTTAGCAAACTTCATAAACAGGTTAAAGGGACTGGTGACGTTAACAGGTTAAAGGGACTGGTGACGTTAACAGGTTAAAGGGACTGGTGACGTTAACAGGTTAAAGGGACTGGTGACTTTAACAGGTTAAAGGGACTGGTGACGTTAACAGGTTAAAGGGGCTGGTGAGGTTAACAGGTTTAAGGGACTAGTGAGGTTAACAGGTTAAAAAGACTGGTGAGGTAGTTTGACCCTTTGTCTGAAAAGTGGCAAGTCTGATTGACAATGGTTCCCGTTAAATCATTGTTGGAGCAAAAATAACGAGAGTTAATCCCCCTTCTTCTTTCTGAAAATTGATTATTTTTAATTGCGGTTCTTAATTAACGGATTTATTCAGACGGTGAGAATAAAGGAACTTTCTAAATTTAGCACTTTTTTTACAGAAACAACGATATCTTCAACATTGTTGCTCAGATAAAGGTTCAAACCTTTATTCAATGGAGGGTTATTTGAAATTAATTTATACGGTCCTTATAGGACACCAGAGCTGGGAACTTGGTGGATATCGAGATCAATGCTTTATCCTTTCTTTTTCTTAATCTCGATACTAACCTTAACAAACCTTATCTTATACTTGTATCCGGAAAAGTGTATAAAATTCAACCAATCAGAGTCGCGTATTTGAAATGTGGGAATTTAAAATTTTAAAATTCTAGATAAATAATCAGAAACGGGATGAACTCTCTAATTTTGAAAAACCGGTTTTTGATTTTTCTGTACTTTATCCAAAAAAGAGTGGATTAAGCGGATGAGAGCTGAACAAGCAATTTTATGATGAAATGTTCTTGTAAAGAATTATCAGATTAAGAAGCCATTGAGATATGACAACTCTGAAAGTTAGCCATACAATTTTTAGACAGCCTGTAGTGAAACCCCTAATAACGAATACATCGAAAGAATTCAATCAAATGTCGTATTCTTCACTTTCTGATAATGGAATGTTGCAGATATTTAGTTTTTAATTAAATGATTATATGGAGCGCATAAAAACTGTTCCCGCATATTCATGGCTATTTATTTATTTTCGCAATTACTGAAATTTACGTAATGTAGTATAAAACTCATTGAAAAATTGTCAAGACGACATTTGATAAATTCTTCCGATGTATTCGTTATTAAGGGTTTCACTGTAGACTTAAAAATGTCGCCAACTCACTAATACTTTTGTGTAGCCCTAGGTATATTTATTTTAAAAATGCAGCGTACTAGTCTTAAGCTTAGGATAAAAGGAGCAAATTTCTGCACAAGCGTGCACATCTTGGTTTGCAGTTAAGCGGAAAGGAAATGTTTTTTTTTTACATTAATTGGGACAAGACAAAATAAAATTTTTAACACAAGGAATAAAGTAAAATAGTTGACGAACTTATAAATCAATAAATGAATATTATTTTCAAATACTAAAATGAAATCAAAATTTATTCCAATTTCTCATTTGGGTTTAAAATAATATTTCAATATTTGAAATAAACCAATCATAAATGTAAATTATTAAATTTTGGTAAAATTGAATGCATTGCAATAATTCACTTTGATATCAAATATGTAAGTTTTTTACTGGCTTCCATTTTTTCTTTCTGTATTTAAGATTGGCTTTATTAAAAGCAAGATATTTTTTGTTTTACGAAAATGGACGAACTGCTGGGACAGTAAATTCAAGAAAAGGAAAACGTTTAAAGCTTATTGGAAACTAGCTGAAGTGCCCGGCGTTGCCTGTGGAAATAAAAAAACAAATATAAAAAACAAACGATTTTGAACACCTTCAGTNCCAGTTGTGAGAGTAATCCTAATCTTGTGTCAAACATCTACCTGTAAAATAAAAAGTTTGAAACTTTTCCTCTGCTCATGAAATATTATCTTTGCCCTTACACTACAAATAGAGGAATTCTTATTTTCTATAGTATTACAGAGGAATTTCAAAAATAGATGTTTTTTCTTTATATTTTAGTAATGTTTTAAATTACTTTAAATTACAAAAAGAGTCAAGAATTTTACCAAATATATCCTAGTAGACACTAAGATTCAAAGGTCGCAAACTATTGCACATAAATCATTAGCATATTGCCAATTACTCCTTTATAAACTAAAGATAAAAACAAATGCTTTACAGTAATGAGCAAAAGAGAGTCTAGGGCTGCAAAAAAGTATAAAAGAATTGGTGAAATCAAAGACCAATTCGTTGGAACACTTTAAAGTCTATCCAATCTTAAAAATTAGTAAAACTTTTTACAGCAGTCTGAATATATTTAAATTTTGCCTTTTTAGTATCGCATTAAAGTTTTTTTCTATATCGAGTACTTTTATAAATTTTTCTAATTTCATTGCAATGTTGGATTTCAATTTTAAACTTTTATATATTTAATTTAATTTTTATTACTATGTTAATTTTGTTTTTTACTTTTTATTATTTTTTAAAATCTTATTTGTACTACAATGATCTTTTTCTTATATACTATATGCATTCATAATGAGAAAGACCTGGAATTAATTTACAGTTAATCAGACGACTTTACATATTTAATTTTAAATGCACATTTTAAAATTGCCGGGACTAGGGTTTTTTTGTTAATATATAGTTTCATTAATCATATTTGTAAAGTTATTCTAACTTAAAGGGAGTGTTCGCGAAAAATGAAATGGGGTATAGGCTTAATGCGATAAAAAAACGCTTTTGATCGCTACTAATCTTACTTCTATCTGTTGCGTCTGTAAGGAGAAAATTGTTAAAGACGTCTCATAACGAAGAACGTAGTGTCCATACAAATTGAGAAAATTGCAACATACGACTTGATTTTTCATAATATGTTTTAATTGTTATGATCGAAGAGTTACATTTATTCCTGTTTCGAGGATTTTTGGTAATGAAGACGACATTTTCCTATTTTCCAGGAATGTTCGGAAACAAGTTGTAAGCTAAATATTATTTAAAAAAGCAAAATCAAAACTAGTATGAAATATCAAATATATACAAATGTGGCGAAAGATAATCGATGACTATAGGGTGTAATATCTGAATGATTTGTTTGAAATTAAATGGATTTTTTTACGGTCTAAGTCATATGTTGCAATTTTCTCAATTTGTATGGACGCCATGTTATTCGGTATGAGACGTCTTTAACAATTTTCTCCTTATAGATCGACGCAACAGATAGAAGTAAGATTAGTAGCGATCAAACGCGCTTTTTTATCGCATTAAGCCTATACCCCCTTTCATTCTTCGCGAACACTCCCTTTAAGCCAAACTCAGCACAGAAGAATTCAAAGATATTTTCTTTTATTGCGCATTTAAGGCTTTGAAGGTGAATTTTTGAGCGCAGATTTGTTTCCAGAGTGTTGGGATAAATGTTCAAGTGCATTTTATGAAGTTAAGATTGATTTACTGGAGGAAAAAAAATCGTATGTTTTTACTAAAAGCACGAGTGCGCAAGCACTTTTGCTCAGGTTCCATTTCAAACCAAAAAATGCTTGTAATAGGCAAAATGTTAAGTTCGCATGCAAAAATCAGCCTCCTACGACAATGCTAAGTTATGTTTAAACATAACTTAGCATTGTTTTCCCGGATATTAATACGTTTCGTGCCCCTCCACCTTAATTCAGGGTCTTTCTGATTATGACTGTGTTATATCTTATTTGTACTGCAATAATTATACTAAATAGATAATAATAATAATGTATTTTGACATAAACGTTTTACAATTTGGTTGAGGACTGAAAAGTCTGAGACCGTTCTAAATTTAGCCCTGATACTTACCAAAATTTTGCATGGATACATTTTCTTTATCTTACACTTTATTGTATTTATGTTGTACTTGTATCTTTTATTTGTACCAATTTTTTCTAAACTTTAAATATTGTTTTTTATTCTTGTCATTACCTTATATTACAGTACAGTAAAGGTAATGCACCATTTTCTGTTTTACATTATAATGGTTCTTTTTTTTTTGTACTGCAACATTTTTTCCATCTTACACCAAACAGATTGTATCTTATTTGTACTGCTTTACGTTTAATCTTGATTACACAAGAAAATATATTGTTTTTATTATTGCACAAGCTCACATCCAACTTAAGTATATTTTACTTAAGTTTCAAATCTTAAATGTTTTTAATCATTACTCCTGGTATTGAACAGTTATTGCGAAAAATAAAAATGTTTAGAATTTCTGATAAGTCAATGTCTATAAATTAATTGTGGTTTTCATTATATTTCATATAAATAAAAATAGGTGCTCCGAGGTCTCAAAGTCTTACTAGTCATAAAGCTTAAATTTTACCTACCCCTTCTATTTAGTGGAGTGTATTGTTTATATTTCTACACTTTATAGATTGTATATTATAAGTACTGCATTGTTTTTTTACATTATCTTATATATATAATCTGACTTATTTTACCTACCCCTTGTATTTAGTGGAGTATATTGTTTTTACTTCTACACTTTATAGATTGTATATTATAAGTACTGCATTGTTTTTTACATTATCTTATATATATAATCTGACTTATTGCTACTGACACATTTCCTTATCACCTTACAATATACATTATAGAATAGTTTTGAAGTGTTTTACACATTATATAAATTACATTACATTACACCTTGTGTAATGTAATACATCACTTTGCATTACACTGTGTGTAATGTAATGAATATTACTAGGATTTAGGTCGAAAATTAACTTGCCACTTTTAATGCCTTAAAAGGAAAAAATTAATTTAGATATAGAAGATTCGAAAAGATTCGAAAAAAATAACAAAAAGAATAAAATTTGCTTGTTTTGGAACTTTTTGTAATGGGTTTTGCTTTTGAATATTGCAGAACTGCATTTATATCTTATTTGTAAATTATAAAGCTTCAAAATAATCTGCAGATATTTCTGTTCTCCTGAGGGGTTTTCCGAAAAATGTTAGATTAAAACTGTTTTTGGAGTTAATTCGAATTCAAACAAACCAAAAATTGCTTCAAATATCGTGTATTTTAATAGAATTTCCATGCAAAGCTGGGTCCTTAAGATATTTTTAAGAATGGTTAAGATGTTTTTGTAAACACTAGAATGTAAAACGTTCGATACTTAAAAACCTTTAAACAATAAAATAATTTTTTTGTATTTTTAGGCTCTTGTAATATTGTTGTTTGTTTACTTTAAAAGAATGTAATTAATTATTTTTGTAACTTCTCAAGTAGGAGACGACATTAAAGTGTCATTTGGTTTAGAACAAATTGAAAATAGGATAATTCAACTGGATTTATTTGAACAATAAAAATGTTTACTTTCGAATAAGTAAATAACATCTCTAATTACAACGGAAGGAAATAATATTATTTTCTCTTTAGTCAGCTTTATCCTGCCTTCAGCTGGAAAGATGCGGAATGGCTTTGTTCGGAGTGGGATGGACCTAAAGCTATAAAGGTTCAACTCTATAATAGCTTTGATTTTAGTCACTCAACACGTCTAGCAAAATTGTATGTCAGATTGAAATCCCATACGTTTTCTTCCTCTTATTCAAGAGCTATAAAACTGTTTTGAATTCCTTAATATTTAGAGGGTAAATTTGCTTTTTTCATACTGCACTAAATCAAAACTAGAGCTAGGAGCTACAAGCTCATAAAGTCTCACCAGTAAATCTTTCTGTCTACTTTCCAGTGAAATTGATTCTCAAAGTCACGAATTGAAAAAAAGTGAGTTGAAAATAATTTAATTTAGGTCAGCAATTTCTTTGTGTTGACATAAAGGACTTCGAACTCCTAGAGACAGAAAAACTTAATTAAGTTATTCAATTGTTGTAAAAAATACTCACATTAAGATGTAATATAAACCATAGTATGTGTTATATAATTTAAATTTTGATATCTAGCAAATAATTGAAAATGATATTTTCAGGGGATCTGTCGACCAGATGATGCAAAGGTTAGAATTCATAATTGAAATTTGAAATTAATATAAGAGCAGGAATGTAACTTTCAAAAATATTCATATCAATTTTTAATAACAAAGACAAAATTTTAATCAATTAATCGGTTTTCTCAATCCTTCCCTCGAGCGCAACTGATCAAGATCGGGCTGAAAAACCCCATTTTGGGAAGACTTGAAACTCAAACCCTCATTTAGGAGCCTTAATCCATCCCTGCATAAAATGATTTTTTTATGATTTGATTTGATTCAGTGTATCAATAACATTTCTGGAATCCGTGAGATTATGCGCGTTTAACCCTTTCCTTCTTATAGACGCTTAAGAAAGAAGTGATATTTTTTAGCAATCGAGTCCAAACTTGACTAAGTCTATACCCTCTTTCATTTTTGCAAACACTCCCATTAAGGAACCCTAAATGTAAATATAATATTTTAAAGAGGGCTCTAGATGCAGGATTTACAAGTATATGGGTTTCAAACCATGGTGGCAGACAACTTGATACCAGGTACACATTATAGTTTAAAGTTACATGATCCAAACCAGTACATGGATGCGGATCTAGTCTTTACCTTACCATCCGTCTAGTGTAAACAAAACATGGTTGATTTAACACGTTTAATGCAACAGAATAAGGCGGGCTTAATTATAGTGAAAAAGGATGGTGGCATTTTTCCCTTTTTTAGAAATATAAAATACACCATGATTCATGAAAACAAAACAAACATTGAAGTTTTAAAAATCTAAACATAAGTTATTGTCATTACTTATTATTAATAAAGCTAAGCTGTGATTGTTCACTATATTTAAGTCTGCACAATCATATCAATTTAATATTGTGTTACTCCTGAGATGAGATTTTAAAAGCTTAAACCCGACTAAAACCCAAACTCGGGCTTAGATAGAACCCAAGTCAGGATGTATTGGTGTTTCTTGCCTCAAAAAAAAAAAATTCGGGTCATCAAGTTGAGGTGTGCGCGGAGATCTATCTTTAGTTAGTTAAATAAGTATAGTAACATAGCTTGCATAGCTAGGTTAACTGTCTTACTTCTCTTTACAAGACTAAGCATCTGTTAATGTTTGAATACTGATTTTATATATCGTTACTTCACAATCTCAAGTGTGTCAGTACATAGGTATAAATTTCCTTTTATATTCCTTTTATAAGAACTAAAACATGTCATCTATTTTCGTGAACATACTGCATATTCCATATATATATATATAAATATAAAATTTTTCGAAAAATGAAATATGTAAATATATTTCATTTTTAACTTTCGATTTTCTCTATTGAACTAAAATTGTGTGTTTTTGCGCACGCACAAACGCGCACAGTTTTAGCCTTGTAAAAATAAATTGGCCGACCATCTTTAGATGTACGAAACTGCGCTATATAAAATTGAAAAATTCTTTCTATTATTCAAAAACAGCGTGAGTTTGCGCGTATTTATATAAATATATTTCATTTTAAAACTCCAATTTTCTCTATTGAACTAAAATTGTGTGTTTTTGCGCACGCACAAACGCGCACAGTTTTAGCCTTGTAAAAATAAATTGGCTGACCATCTTTAGATGTACGAAACTGCGCTATATAAAATTGAAAAATTCTTTCTATTATTCAAAAACAGTGTGAGTTTGCGCGTATTAATATAAATATATTTCATTTTAGAACTCAAATTTTCTCTATTGAACTAAAATTGTGTGTTTTTGCGCACGCGCAAACGCGCACAGTTTTAGCCTTGTAAAAATAAATTGGCTGACCATCTTTAGATGTACGAAACTGCACTATATAAAATTGAAAAATTCTTTCTATTATTCAAAAACAGCGTGAGTTTGCGCGTGTTAATAAAAAATATGTTTCATTTTAAAATTCCAATTTTCTCTATTGAACTAAAATGGTGTGTTTTTGCGCACGCACAAACGCGCACAGTTTCAGCATTGGGAAAAAAAATTGTCAGATCATCTTCAGACCTACGAAACTGCGCGTATCATACACACTGTATTACACACACTGAACAGACGTTATTACGCATGCGCATTCAGTGGCCCATATCCCTCGAAATCTCGAGATGTTTCAAACTCAAGAATCTGCGCGTATTTGTCATATACTGTTATACACGTGTTACGCAATTATATTTTCTTTTTCTCATGTATTCTTGTCCATCTAGTATCTTTTATCTTCTATTTTATTCAATTCTTTTTATATTTTATTTTTTTTGTGTACCTCTAATTTCTTATTTTATAAAGCTTTGATAATACGATCATTTAGTTTTCTGTTAGTTTTAATTTCTTTATTCTTTATTAATTTGCAGCTCTTTCTGTTTTCTTTTTCTTCTTCTGTTATATTTCTATGTATTTTTCTAATGTATTTTTCTATTTTATGTATTTCTTGTTTAAACTCTCATTTATCTCATTTTTCTTTTTCTTATTTCACATTTTTTTTTTCCTTTTTATGATTCTATTTTTGATATTTGTTACTTTGCCTTTTTCACAATAACATAATTTCAAGTTAACCATACATATATAGTCCGATTCACAATCCGATTCACAACCCTACCTTTCAAACCTTTATCTTATCAAGAACAAATGAGATATTCATGATTTATCTCTTTATTTTCACGCTTTTTTTCATTTATGTGTTTTCTCCGTTAAAGTGACAGTCAAATATATAACAAAACAAACAAAACAATAGTGATTATCGTGTCAGAATTGAACACTTTGTTTTCTTAAGCCAGAAAAATGACAAAATCTACCATATAATTTAAGGTCTTTTCTTTAAAATTAATTTTGTTTGCTCACATAGCATAAAATTTCGTAAAAAATCTATAATCTTAAAAACTAAATAATCAAAAGTAGAAAGTACAGTGTATATTAAGCATAAGAATGAAGAAAGAAAATGAAAGAAGGAAAAAATAAAAGAGGGAAAAAAAGAATGTAAATATTGAGAAGAGAAAGTAGAATCGAGGAGACAAGAAACAGAAAGGAAGGATGAAATAAAAAGAGAGAAGAAAGATTATCTCTTCATATGACATATTACAAAAGTGACTCGCGCATTTCTTGCTTCAGAAACGATGGAGAAATGAAGGTTTCAAAGGTACATCGGACATGCCATTCTATAGTGGAGGGTCACTTGAAATTACGCATGTATTCTATTTAAGTATAATTACATCGTATAGAAAAAATACTTTAAAATCTCACTTTTGCCCTTAACTAAAAAGGTTTCATTAAAAAAAGCTTTAATCTATACTGCCTTCAGTGTAAATATATATTTGATATCATAAATTATAATACAATATGTAAAAATCCTATGAAAATATAAATAATGTTTTAGAAACATTTCCATCTATATTTTTCATCTCTTGAAGCTTACACCACACTATTAAGAGGGATTACCTGATTTTGTGCCCCCCCCCCGTGCCANAAAGGTATCAACATTTTTTCAAAAAAGGGGTTTTAAGGGGGGGGGCACAATGATGCCAAGGGGGGGGGGCATAAAATTTTTTTTGCGCGCTTGTGACCCCCTTACACAAATGCTCTTGTACGCCCCTCATTTTCATTTATCTTCAGGTATACTGTATAATTCTTATAACTTATCTTCATGCTCATCTTAGTTTCTATCATTTTCCACTTATTTTACCCTCCAAACTTTCCTCTTGTAATATTCTATTCCCTTTTTTTGTTTTTTCTATCTTTTTCTCAGCTCTTCTAATATTGGTTTCCATCTAAACTTGACATTTAAGACACAAAATGTGTACTTTATATGATAACATTTGAACACATTTACATCGAATACTAGGATACTATTCAACAATCCTTACTATCCTCAGTAATGAAAAAATCATGTACATACACAGGGTGAGTCAAAAAATGAGTGAATAGCGAGATCTTGCATACAATAAAGAAGCAGGGGCGGATACAGGGGGGGGGGGCGGCATGACCTTCACACCCCCCTAAGATTTCGAGGCAAAAATGTTCCCATTTTGCTACAATAATTTTCTCAATTTATTTAATCGTATTTATCCAATTTTCTAGTTTTTTGAAGGAATTAAGATATTAAATACAAAAACAAAGACTCCTAGAAAAGAAAAAATGCCTTACTCAAAATAAGGAACGTAAAACAGGTAAAGGGATTAAGTCTTTGTCACAAACTCAAAGTTTCTAATCCCTAAATTTTGAACGCATAAACAAATGGTAGGGTGGAGAATGGTCAAAAGGCGGGTCGGTGTTTAAAAATATCAGAAATGGTTAATAACTTTTTTATTAATTAAGCTTCAGGGATTATACTTAGATATTTGAAAAGGCCTTGAAAAATGAATTCAATAACATTTGTTAAATGTTAAAATTTGTTAAAAGTAAAAATAATTATTCTGAAAATTTTTTCAACTTACTTTTTGAGCTTTTTTTCAAAATCCTTCCTTGTACCCTATAACCATTAAAGTTAGAGGTTTAATTTTTTGTTTAATGAGCAGGCCTTGAAAAGTTGGACTATAGCTTTGTATTTCACTCCACTATCTCAACTCTAAGGGCAAAACCATAAGGGGGGGTGGAACCCCCCCCCCCCATCTATATTCATTACAAAATATATTTATCATTTCAAAACAAAATCATCGATTCCTTCATCTTATAAATTATTCATTCTTGAATTTAATAGTTCTTGTAAAATCGGAACTGTCCATGCTCCAATGGGACATCAAAATGTCAATTGTTTCTTGAATAACATTTTACTAAGATCTGATAGATTGTCCCAGGAAAAAAAATTTCTCTTTGTTAATTAGAACTCAAAATGCATTGAATCAGAATGGAATTCAGCCCAAATTACCTTGAACAACTTGTTCTTCCTTTAATTATAATTATAGATTTAGTCATAAATTATAGTATAAAAAGGCATTCAGGCAATTCTAATGTATGTATTTCGGAAAGTATCGAAAAAATCTGCGAAATTAATTTAAATCCCTCGTTTTTTTCTGAATAAACTTTTGACAAGAGGGTTTTGAACATTCTGGGCTCGATCAGGAACATATTTCAGTGGGCTTGAAGTTGTATGCAATATTATATTCCTTTGACTTCAAAAATTACTTGTATTTTCTAACAGAAAAGTATGAAAATGATAGTTAATAGATGTATGACAACTATTTACTATTCTTAGCTTATTTGTGTACTGGTTACACTGGAACTGTTTGGTTTTATAATATTTATCATTATTATCTTGTATTGATCATGGTAGAAGGAGGAACTAGCCAACTTTACAAGAGTGCTTCAATTCTTTCCAAAAATATAAAAAAGTGCAATGAAGACGGATTCGACGTATTTTTAGAATTTACCAAAACATTGTAAATATCTCAAAATTTTCATAATATTATTAAAAGAAAACGAACCAAATTCCTTTTCAGGCCTCATTAATGGGTCGTAATAGAGATTTAGTTTGTTAAATAAAAACTAGGCATTTTCAGCATTAAAAGTAATAAAAACTACATACTCCCAGGGTAAACTGATACTTTTCTTTATCAGATTTAGAGAAAGGTATTGCATGCATGTGCATGTGCTGCTGACTTTGGACTTGTAGTCTAAATCCATTGATTTATTGATTCATTAATATAATATAACTCAAATTCTCACTTTAAAAAAGGACTCCATGTAGCATGCCTGGAATATTAGAACTCCATATAGTATCCTTGGTACATTGGGACTCCA